TTACGGGAAAGCTCAACTAAATAACAGCGCTAATAAGTGGGGGGCGTGGTGGCTTTGACGATCGGCGCTCCAGTCAATCTACTCCACAGCCAATCACGGGCCCCCTCCTTGCTCGGGCCCCGGGGCTTCAGCCTCGCCTAGCCCAATGGTTAAAACGGCCCTGCCTGCACGGGTCTCAAATATAGGCCCTAACCCGTCTTTTTTCCCCTTTTCCCAAAAAAAAAGCTTATACAACTATTAAAATAGTTCAGTTTTGTATGTAATGGAAAAGTGATTGATCTCATGAAAGTGCGTATAGCACGATTTTCTGCTTCTATTTGGCGTAATATTTCTATGCAGAAATTGACTTTGGCATGCAAAAGACTGATAAATTCATAATTAACGGCATGGGTTCAGTCGACAGCTGCTGAAATGTTTGCGGGGCTAATCTCAGATCAGTCTGAGCGCTCATGGTACACAGTGCGTACAGCCGTACACCTGCAGGCGCCACTGACTCGGACGGTTGTCGTGGTAATAAACACCGTAAACAGCAACCGTTCGCGTGTCAGCGCTTAATGCGCATATCCTATATGAAAAGCATTTTAGGGGGCCCTTGGCTTTTGGGGGCCCAAGGCGGTCGCCTACCTTTGCCTAATGGATAAGTCCGCCCCTGGGTGTGAGCTCAAGGGGTTAACAGCTGGTGATTGGCATCTGTCAAAAACATCTGTCTCACTTTTCCCATACCATGCGGTGCTAGCCTAAGCCACTTTGTAGTGGCAGCCCTTCTCAGGGTGCCATTGCAGACCACCTGGCCAGCTATCTCACAGTAACGAGCCTGTCCAGGAAGCTCCTGCATACATCTCCATCTCATCTTTATCAAGAAATGGAGACCTGAATAAATGAAGTCTATGACACTGACAGCAAGTTGGCTAACGGTTAACCATGACGATCTTTGTCTATCTCTCAAAGCTTTTGTCCTCTGGCCTTCTTGACTTTTTTCTGAGATTTCAAAAAGGCGCAGCACGATTCCATTCAAGCATGTTGGTGTTGGGCTCAATAGGTGAGGCACAAATCTGCAAATTGTTTCCCTGATCCTCTGCTTAAAACGTGGCATTGGCACTGCCATGGCAACCCAGCCAGGGACATTCCCACTGTTAATCTGCACTCTGAATTAATCGCTCCGTCTGAGCAGACATGTGCCTGCAGACATAGAACAGGAGAAGATTTTCTCACGGTCACCTATCTGTAGATGATAACACTGGGCTGGGATGTCAGATCCTTTTCAGTCTGAGCAGTCGTAGAGTATTAAAAAAATTTATTCTTAGATATAAATATGTTCCATAAATATGGTGTCATGTTACTTATTTTTAAGGTATTAGAGACTGATCCCATGTTTTTGATGTGATAACTTTTAGATATTTTTTTATAAACTATACTGCATTCAAAAGTAATATTTTTTTATATTAAGCAGCATAACAATTTTCAACATTGATAGTAATGATAAATGTTTCTAGAGCAGCAAATCAGCATATTAGAATGATTTCTGAAGGATCATGTGACACTGAAGACTGAAGTAATGGCTGCTGAAAATTCAGCTTTGCCATCACAGGAATAAATTACATTTTAAAATATAAATTTGATATATTTTAAAAAATATATATTAAAATAGAAAACAGATGTTTAAAATTGTAATACAATTTCACAATATTACTGGTTTTATTGTATTTTTAATCAAATAAATGCAGCCTTGGTAAGCATAAGAGATTTCTTTAAAAAACATTTTAAAAATCTCACTGAACCCGAAGTTTTAAACAGTAGTGTGTATATCTAATTTAAAATTAGTCTAGCATGAAAAGTAGCTTGTTAAATGCTGTTTTTGGTCTTTGCAACTCTGTTGTCCATTCTGAATTATTTTCTTTTTCCTTTCCTTGAAAATTATTTTCAATGTTTACTTAATTATAAAATCGCATCATTTATTTTGAATAAGTATGTAATTTATCGAATTGTAACAGAATTGCTAAAGCCTCTCAGAAAATTAATATAAAAAAATAATATATATATAGTTGAGTCATGAAACTCTAGATGGCGCAGGCTGATGGGGTGTTAACGTAACTGATGATATTCAGAGAGTTAACCCTCTTAGCACCAAAGTCGCAAAAATGCGACAAGACGTCATACTTAATCAAATAGACTGTAGTTCCTAATATGGTGTAATATCTCATTTGTATTCCCTACCACTAGATTCTCTGAAACCCTTCACCTTCCCCAGCTCCACCTGTATAGATCTGCTACGGGGTTATTTTATATGCTATTTGTGCAGCTGCAGTATGTCTTAAATACTCACGGCACCGTATCGCCATATTCATTGGCAGTAGCAAGTTCCTGTACTTGCTTGCAGCAGCAGCAATAATCTACAACTACAGCAATAACCAACAACAGCAGCAATTCAGCAGCAGCGTAGCAGATCTGTTCCACCACGACCAAATACATTAACATTGTCATATCCATCACCATGCTAAAATGTTTCGAGAGTTGTCATGATTGAAATACATTTTTTTATAAAAATTAAATATTAAATTATACTAATTCTGAGGCTGATGAACAATATTTTTTAAAAACATTTCTGGCACCTGCTTGCACTGAAATAATAACTAAAAAAGTAATTTTTCAAGTTTGTTTGTTTGATCATTGTACAATTTATACAGACCATCTATCTAGCTGTAATGCAAGAACATAATATTGCCTTAAAGTTGTCAACACTGTTTATTACATGATTTTCTTTATCATAGGAAGTGACTAAGTCATCTCTAGTGCATGTTAGGTTTCATGTTTTCTAATGGACTATTTAAATTCCCCCTGAACATTGCAAATGTCACCCAAGTAATTAAATAAACTCTGAAACATTGGGGGTAATTACAGGAGGTCAGTCTGCCTCACACTTGTTCTCTGGTGGTCAATTATCTGTCGGCCTAAGAACTTGAGAAAGTGTATACTGCATCATGGCAGATAGATGTTTCTCCTCCAGCATTAGCGGAGTCCAGGTCCAGAGCTGCGCTTCATTAATTGGGCCTGATCCAATTCCCAGCATGAGCTCTGCCAGCTGGCACAGGGATGCACACCGCATGTTTTTTCCCTAAACACTGTTTCATTATTTCTTGATTTAAGATGAGCACAGAGGAGCCTCCAGGCAACAGATGTCCATCTGCTTTTCGGAGGTTCCGCAATTAAAACAAAAGCTGTGTGTATTTGAGTATACTGTGTATTAATCGCATACCTTTCCGTGCAGGTGTCCTGACACAAGGTGCTGGTCATTTTCCGGAAGTCATAAAACACCATCCCTTTGAGCGTCCGGTCTTTGGCGTCATCCAGAAAGCAGCCGATGTACGTGCCTGAGCAGAGAATAACAATCGCATCAGAAATTCAGAACGTGACCTTTTTCTGCAGATGGGAAGATTCCGCAGCACAGCTTGGAATACAGATAATTGAGAAAATAAACCAATTATCATAAACAACCAATTTGTCATTCTGAAAAGCACACAGCTCATTTAGCACAGAGTTTCACCTTTGTGTCTGATTTTTCTTTTCGGAAGAACTTTCTCCACTCTGGATGCTTCCTGTTCGGACATGAGGCTGTGGAACCAGCGGCGTCTCAGATATCGGATCTCCTGGTTTCGTGAGATCAGCCATTGTGGTCCAGCGTTGTCTTCGGCTAAAACGCTTTGGAATCCCACCCCCTTTCTGGTGACCCGAGCGCCTATTATTCCATAACTTGTCCGGAGGGCAGGTGCCTCCAGGGCCCTGGGAGGAGATGGCAAAGACGGCAATGGAAAGTAACTGCTCGTCCCACGCTGTGACACCACCAATCCATGTCTCTGCAGAAGAAGGACACTTCCAGCCATGATATATGCGACACCGAGGAACAAGAAGAGCAGCTGAGTCCGTCGCAAGAAGCGCTGAAGCCTGTAGAAGGGCTTTGCCATGTTGCCCTCCTTCCAGGTTAGTGGAAAAAAACCCTGAGTCTACGATTTAATGCTGCCATTGTTCCAACAAAAAAGGCAGAGACCAATTCCAGGTGCTTCATTCTCTAGCAAGCTCTACCAGTGATACCTTATTCACATTCTGTTTAAAAACTCTTTGAGTGCAAAAATCCTCCAGCAAAATGTCCCACCGTTTACCTGTAAGAGGACTAAGTGAAAAGTTGACTGTGGCGTTACATCCCCTTGATGACAGAAGTACTTGTAGCTCTTACGGCTCAAAGACTTCGGGGAACCTGGTGGGAAAATAGAAAGCAGTTAGACGCAAGTCGCAGCACATCTTTCACTTTTTTATTCTCAGGGATAGACCAGAGTGCTAGAGACAAGAAAGAAATATAGAGAGAGTGTGTGGCAGTTATTCTGGTAGTATGTCTCCATTAAGAGGAGAGAGCTGGAAAAGCATTACCCTGTTTGTGCTCCTGTCTGTCTTTATGAGTACACAGCAGATGTGAAAAGTCTAAGAGGGTACACTACAGTCTCCTAATCGAGGTGCAAGCTATGGGTGGGCTTGGGGTAGGGGTCTGATGGCCCCAAAGGAAACTAAACCAATAGAGAAGTCTGTGTGTGTGTAAATAACAAAGTGAAGTCTGTCGTTTCAGAGGAGCAGCATTTTGGCTACAAAAGCTATTTTCTTTGCTCTTTTTATTGGAATACAATATTGTGCATTACTGTTCAAAAGTTTGGGGTCAGTATTTTTTTTAATTGATCAAAAGTGACAGTTATAGTGATTATAATGTAAAATACATTTATAATGTTACAAAAAATTATATTTCAAATAAATGCTGTTCTTTTTAAATTTCTAATAATCAAAGAATCCTGAAAAACAAATGTATCACATTTTCCACAAAAATTATTAAGCAGAACAACTATTTTCAACTTTGATAATAATAAGAAATGTTTCATGAGCAGCAAATCAGCATATTAGAATTATTTCTGAAGGATCATGTGACACTGAAGACTGGCGTAATGATGCTGAAAATTCTGATCTGCCATCACAGAAATTAATGTCATTTTAAAAAATATTCAAATATCAAAGTTTATATATATTTTTTTATTAAATACTGTTTATTTTCTTTCTTTCTTTTTTTTTTTATCAAATAAATGCAGCCTTGATGAGCATAAAATACATCTTTCAAAAACATTAAAACAATTTACTGATCCAAAAATGAGGTCCCACTTTGACTTTACTGACCCAAATCTTTACTGACCCAAAAATATACAACATTTTCAAAGCTCAACAGATGAAAATTACTGACAGAAGCTCTTTAAAAAGTCAACAAAGAATAATTTGTATACTGTTCCTTGTACAGTACATGTTCTAGTTCAGCTTTAAATCTGTTTGCCTGGCAAGAGTGATAAATCACTCTTTAAATTTCATTTCATTTCAATATTCTCAAATGCATGTTCATGTTTCTTTTTCTTTCTTTCGTTCTTTCTTTCTTTCTTTTTTAAATCATGTAACATGCTCATTAGCTGGCTGACTGACTGACTGAAATGAAATGAAATCTGGTTTAGTACTGCTAATCTGAGCCAAGTAGTTTCTATAACTTGCAGCACTTTTTCCTTCAATTCACTTTAGACATTCTTGAAATGTTCAGCCCAATATTTCAGCTCCACTGAGAATCCTTTTGTGTGGCAAAAACTTGAAAAACAAACCCTGTAACAAGCCTAACTGAACTCAGTGGTAGGCTGTCCCTCGCTTCCATTCATTCTTGCCAATCAAGCAAGTCTAGCTCTACAGAGCCCACTGTGTGCCCCATATTCGCCCAGTCTATTTCATCTGGAATATGTCTGGGTCCACAGAAGATGAAAACACAGGCTGAGCCACACACTGATTACGCATTAAATGCATAATCACCACACCACACGTGAATATGAATGTGGATTTGTTTTAAAGGGGTCATGAATTGAGAAATCAACTTTTACTTGAGCTTTTGATATATGTGACCCTGGACCACAAAACTA